TTGACAGAAGTGATATTTTGAAAAGTTTCGCTAAAAACTCAACCCACGCATCTTCGTCCAACAAAATGTCTTCCTCTCCCTTATGTCTTCATTTTTACCCCTTCATCTCTTTTACTGCCTCCCCCTACCTCTAAATTTTCTTTTCTTTCCTTCTTATCAGTCTTCTTTTTTTTTTTTAAATCAATTTATTTCCTGTGTTTGGTGCATTTAAACCAGCCTCAATATGCCGTGTAGACCAACTGCGAAATAAATTTAAGTTTACAACTAGAAAATTTCAAATATATGATTTTTCGTTGAAATTTTACATATATGTCAGACAGACTGTTTCGCTGTATCACAGCTCATTAGTGTGGCTCGAGATGCGATTGCTTCAAGCCAGAATCGAAAGCCAACGGATTTGACATCAGCCGGAGACTCTCACCCTTAGGCAATCAGCTCACGCAGAGGGGAAAGAGGATTTTTTACACCTTCTATACGAGATATAAGCATTACCGTCTACCAGAGTGCTCAATTCATATCGAAGAGCTTTTATTGTTAATAGCAAACAAATTTTCTTTCTTCCAAAATGCTCATCCTACGAGAGGGGGTATATATATATATATATATATATATATATATATATATATATATATATATATATATATATATATATGTGTGTGTGTGTGTGTGTGTGTGTGTGTGTGTGTGTGTGTGAATAGATCTGTAAAAGGTGATGTAAAAGAAAAGAAAAGTGAAAAGGAAAACTTAAGCGGAAAGTTCATGAAAATGCAATTATCCTTACTCGCAAAAGTGTTAATTTAAGTCGTGAATAGTTTCAAATATCTTTCTTAAAACAAACGTTGTTTTTTGTTTTTGTTTTTTTTCAAGGCAACATGTATGAACATAACGGCCCCACGTTACTTGATCCCAGGGGAACCGGTTTTGTAACGTGATATGGCTGTAAACTTTGCAGATTGTTCTCTTTCTGTAGTTACTTAATTTGCCTTTTGGGCAAATATATTAGAAACGGAATTTTTGCGAAGATAATTACAACTGCTCACAGCATGCTTCTTCAGATCATCCCCCCTGTCTCAAGACTCCTCTTTAGCTGGAAAGAATTTATCCTAGATTCACTCGCAGATATAGCAGTTCCACACTATTTTTCTTTATTTTCAACAGTTTTTTTTTATTTCTTTATGTTTTGTCTAGTTTGTAGAAGGATATCTTTCCCTATTCCATTGAGCATTCAAAATTCTGTGTAACATTTTCCAATCGTAGGTCATAAGGCTTCCCAGATTGTTCAGTTCTGTAACTGCTTGATGCTGATGTCTTTTGATCAACTATTTCTGTAGCAGATTCCCTATTACTCTAAGCAGCCTTCTTTAGAACGACATCTTTTGCCTCACGTCTCCTCTTGAATGTCCAGCATATGTGAGAGGTTTAATATCACACACGAGTTCGGCAAAGTTTTCTTTGTTTCTAATATAATATTTTGTTTAGATTTTAGAAGGTACCTCTTTTTCTTAATTATTTCACACCAAGGAAGGCAATAAAGCCACAGAGACGTGAGCTGTTACAGAGTGTTAAAGAATATCACAAAAATACTATTAAACAGAGAGAACAATAAACGAACAAGAAGTTAACAAAAAGAAGTTAACAATTAACATTGAATTTACATTTTTAAAGATCAAACTTGACTGAAAAGAAAGAAGCCGGAAGAGGGTTCCACAAGTGGGAGGTGCGAGAAATGAAACTCTTGAATCTAAAAAAACTGTAAAATGATCAGATCCTACCGCCAATCTAGCCGTACGCTTAAATTTCACAAAATCTAGGGGAAATAGAATCATGTTCTTTGTGTTGGTGAGACCAAAATGTACGAGGAAGAGGTGAAAGGTCAAACCGTTATGTCCTGACACCAAAATGAAGAAGTATTTAGCAACATTCCATCGGAATATTAGCTCGGGGGAGATGTTATAATGGTTTATCCCACTCTGTATTACCTATTGTGTACTGACTATTTCAGTAAATATATATAATGTGCACAGTATATACCTGAGACTGACATCGGCAATTATCAGGTCATCCCATAAGTTCTGTCCGAATTTTACTTTTTTTTTTTAAATGAACGAAATTTAAAGAGTATTTTATAATGTCTAATGGAGCTGAACATTATTTTTATGTTTATATGCATTTAAACTGATCAAATTTTATTTCAGGGAACAATAAAACTAAATTTTGTTTGATTAAAACCATAGTAACATGGAAGTACTCAAGAATCATTTGAGACACATAATGCTTTATGAGTTCAAGAAAGGAAACTCAGCAGCCGAAGCGGCTAGAAACATTCACTCAGTTTATGGAGAGGAATGTGTGAATGAAAGAACTTGCAGAAGATGGTTTGCAAAATTCAGAGGTGGAGATTTCACCCTTGAAGATGAAGATCGAACCGGACGTCCAGTTGAGTTTGATGAAAAGCTTCTTGAAGCAGCCCTTGAAGAAAATCCTGCTTTATAAGTTGAGAAATTGGCAGCGGTTCTCAGTTCAAACCATACAACTGTTCATCGTTATCTTCAACAACTTGGAAAAGTTCCTAAACTTGGAAAATGGGTGCCTCCTGAATTGTCTGAAAACAACCTCAAATCCCGAGTTGACATCTGCTCTTCTCTCCATTCTCGCCAACTTGTTTCACCTTTTTTTGGATAGACTTTTGACTAGCGACGAAAAATGGATCTTTTTTTCGAAATGTTAAGCGTCGTAGATAGTGGCATGGTAAAGGGGAAAGACCCCAGCCACAGCCGAGAAGGAAACTTCATGGTTCTTCTTCCAATCTAGTGGGATCGCCAAGGAATAATCCACTTTGAATTCTTACCACCTAATGCAACAATTAATGCTCAAATATACTGTCAGCAATTAGATCGTTTGAAGCAAGCTTTGAGGAAAAAAGACTTGCTCTAGTGAATTGAAAAAAGGTGATGTTTCATCAGGACAATGCGCGAACCCACACAGCAAGAATCACGTCCTAAAAGATCGAAGAACTTGGTTGGGAGAAAATTCCTCATCCACCTTATTCTCCCGATCTTGCTCCTTCAGACTACCATTTGTTTCGTAGCTTAAAGAATCATTTGGAAGAAACAGCTTTTGTAACACAGGAAGAGGTGAAACTGACATTTGTGACTTCTGCGAATCAAAGCCAAAATAATTTTACAGTAATAGAATTAGTAAGCTTGTTAATAGATTGAAGGAAATCATAGATAATCAGGGAAAATACATTGTTGATTGATTCTGTAATTAAATGTAACATTTAGTCACTTGTTTTCTTTATTCAAAATTCGGGCATAACTTATGGGATGACCTGATAGTTGTATATTCGTCTTCAGGTAAGCTCGTCGAAACTCTGCTTTCGGGCAGAGAGAAACCCAGACGAAGCTATGCCGAAGTGCAGTCTCGTCTGGGTTGGTAGACAGCTACCTGACCCCGTGTATCACAGGGTCTACTGGAAATTTTTGCCCGAGCCTAAGAGCCCGGTTTTGGCCCGCATTAAAACTGCCTTGTGCCACATCCTGCCTCGCGGGGAGGTAAGATAAATAAACTTGCTTCGGGAATTACTAGCCTGATAACCGTTATCCTCTCTTTCAGTAGTGTATTCTCTTTTACAATAAACCTCTCTTTCTTTCATCTACGCCTGTGTTACTGTTCCTTTCACTCGAGTGAAACCTTTTTCTGGTTGTAATCTTTTTAAGGACACAACAAAGTTTTATTTATTTCTATTATTATAAAAAAAAAAGTGGTACAAGGCCCAAAGGAGCGTTGGAAAGGCTGGTATTCATTTGACTTCTATCTAATCTTTATTAGCCAGTTACTGACCCAAACAACCGACAATATTCCTTACATCAAAACAACACATTCTTAACTTCTATTTTTTTTACAGTCACCATAATGCTTAGGCGTCTCTATGAAGTTCTAATTGGTCCCCATATGTAAAATTTGTTTCTGTAGATGTGGTGGGGGGGATAAAAATAACTAATAACTAAAATATATCATCCTAATGTGTATTTGCAATGTATAAAATTCTATATGCAAGAAACAAAACATAATAATGTTAGTCTCTGTGTCGCGCCAGAAGGTTTTTCTCGCCTGAAAGAATCCTTCAAATCTACAAATCAAGCATTGGTCCTTGCATTGAATACTGTTACCATATATGCTCTGGTGACCCCGCTGTTCATCTCGAGGTCCTAGAAAAAATACAGAGACGAATATGCAATGTGATAGGTCCTGATCTGGCATCTCGTCTACAGTCACTTTCTCACAGACATGATATGGCTTTCCTATGTCTTCTCTATGAATATTTTCATGGTAACTGCTCAGACGAGTTACTTTCACTGTTAACCCAACTGCATGAATTAAAAGCGTGCTACGAGGTTGGCACCTCGGTCCCACACTTCCACCGTCGAAACAGTTAAATGTAACCACCTCTTCTACTCCAACAGCTTCTTATCTCGCACTTCCTGACAGTGGAACTCCCTTCCTCTTACTTGCTTCTCTGATAACTATAATCTTCAAATATTCAAATGTAATGTCAATCGACATATTCTGAAGCCGTAATCCTGATCTCCGTTTTTCTCTATGTCCTTTCCTCAAACACCCCTCTTTTCTCTTGGTCACACTCCATGTAGCTCTTTGCGCGTTAGTTTCACTCCCGACTTCATTGGGATGAAATGCTTAAAAAAATCCAGCCCGCCCCAAAAAATCTGAAACATAGAAGAAAGTACATCAGAACAATAACCATGGAAGTATTTATAGAAAACAGCATAAGGAAGGTACATTACAGCGGGGGAAGCTTGACTTAAATCAGGATGACAGGTTAGGACAAATAACGTTGCAGATTCTTCTTTGGATTTTATCAAGAATCGCTAAATATGTAATAGTTGAACCAGACCAGATGTAGCAATATTCAAAGCAAGAAGGAATCGTAGATTTTAAACACAGGAGATATATTCTGGTGAGAATAATCCTCCAGCATAACACAGAGAATAACCTTTCTTAGTAGCAGCTTGCTATTTGAATGTAACTTCGGATTTTTCCGGCACATTTTACCTCGCTACTGACTTCTAACTGAACGTAAACAACGAATACTGGCTCACGTTAAAAGTACCCAACTATCTCAACTGAGAAACACACCGGTCACGTATAATTCTAATAGCCTAGACGAATGTCAGCGAAAATTTTGGGTCCTTTAACATCAGCAGTATTCGTATTTGGACGCGACCCAAAAGTAATGTTTACCCTCGAGCGAATTTACCAGCGTCAGTGCCACCTGGTGCTTGCCTCGAGTAATTAAGATTTCTCAGAGAAGTTACTCCCGGAGAGAGTGGCCTATTTATTTGGGCTATAGAGGCATAAAAACAAATATTGAAACGTAGGAATATCTAAGCATATGTCTGGGTTCAAAGAGGAAAAATAAGCACGCACATACACACACGGGAAATGTCATGCAGACACTCACATCATTAAAACATCCCTATAAACACATAGAAAATGTATAGATAGATAGACATACAGATATACGAAAACTACCGTGATATGTATATACTGAGAGAAAGTAAGCATTTAATACCAAAGACAAGATTTTCGTTAATTTCTTTCCTTTTTTTATTTTATTTTATTTTATTTTCATACTAGGTAAACAAAATTTGGGTCTAGTGTGTGTAAAATTGGCGTACTAACACCTCCCGTCATGGACAATATTTGCAAGTCTCAAATCTAACAAAAAATAGTATTATTGTTATATCCGTGTTGGATCGGCTCAATCCACACTTCCCAAACGTCATAGAGTCAAAAGGCGTCTACGCTGCCTTTTGGCTGACGAATTATTTTATACCTTAAAGCCCTTTCCTTCCACAGACGAAAACACGCGAGTCTATTACTACAGTTATTCCAAGGCAAATGTTCCGAAGAACTACAGTCCTTACTACCATCAGTTCAGACTTTTACAACAAAGGCCGGCCATGCCACGCAAACAGAGTCGAATAATCCTCCGTATTGCATCGGTAATAAGAAGAATTCACTGCCTTCTAGAAAAGATTCCTAAAACGGTGGTCCACTGTTCACTAAAATCTAACTTTTAACCTACTGGAGGTGGTTTAGCTTGCTAAGAAAAAATATCCTGGCACTTGCAAATGACTTTGATAAATGGATAGTAGTGATCTAATTTTAAAATTGTGGTGACATATCCTGCTATGGCAGCAAAAATGACCATGACAAAAATTAATTAGTTCAGTAGAAGAGCATTGAAATACAATGCAGTGGAAAAGAAAGTAGCGAATAATGTAGATTTAAAAGTTAATATCATCAACTCTTAGTTCAAATTTAACAAAAACTTTATACAATAGCTAAAATAACCACATTGGGATTCACAATTTCTTTTACTCAATAACATCTGTAGCAAATTGAAATATAATAGCGCATTCATTGGGATAATATACCTTGCTACCCACAATGCACCACTAACCAACATATATAAATAGTCGAGCATATACACAACACAAATATGTTACTTTCTATGTATTGTCTGTATCCCGCATTGCTACATAATACGGTATAAACGAAAAGGACCATTTCTTTTTGTTATTCGTTTTATTATGAGGGAAGGGTGGAAACTTGCATTCTAAAATGTAGTAGGAGGAATGACGGCACAGGAATGAATGTCGCATGTTGGCTCAGCGTCCTTTCTGCGGCTAGTCTTATCCGGTCACCCTGCTTTCAATAACTGCATTCAGTGGACTTCTGCCTGAATGCATGTTGGCCCTTGTTTTGGGTGAGTGAAAAACAGTAAAAGTACATGTAGATAACATAGCTCATACAACCATCGAAAATCAGATTCAATTGTATGAAGGGGCATTAAAAAAGAGAAATTATTAAAACTCGATCGGAATTACTTGAAATTAGAAACATCATAAATTTCAACCTAGACAAAAAAAAGTATAATTTCGATTGTATCAGGTAACGTTACAGCAACCAGAATGAACAAATGACGGTATCAATTTTGAAATCTCTAAAAATCAGGCGTTTTGATTAAAGATATTTTTTATTTCTAATAATTCATCATATTTACCTATTTACCTAATTTTCTCTCTTACTCTCACTCACACTCTCCATCTAAAAGTCGATCATTTTTTCACTCTCATGCACCTATATGATGTTCATATTTATCTATCAATCTATCTCAGTATTTTCATATCTATCTATCTCTCTATCTATCTACCTACCTACCTATCCATCTATCTATCTCAGTATTTACATATCTATCTATCTCAGTATTTTCATATCTATCTATCTATCTATCTATCTATCTATCTATCTATTTTCACCCATCGCTCTATATATCTATCTAGCAAGCTATCACACTCTGTTCATCTACTTAACTAGATAGGTAGCTATAATTCTAGCTAGCCACCTATCATTTTCGGCCTATCTCAGCCTGTTAATATCTATCTATCTATCTATCTATCTATCTATCTATCTATCTATCTATCTATCTATCTATCTATCACAACAAGTTCATTATCTATCTCAATCCGAACATAGATAGATAGATAGATAGATAGATAGATAGATAGATAGATAATGTTCGGATTGAGATAGATAGATAGATAGATAGATAGATAGATAGAAAGATAGATAGATAGATAATCTATCTATCTATCTGTCTCATTCTCTATCATAGTCAGTTTCTGTGTGCCTTTCTTTTTTTCTTTTTTTTTTTTTTGAGGCGTGAGAGAGAGAGGATGGGTTAGATAGATAGATAGATAGATAGATAGATAGATAGATAGATAGATAGATAGATAGATAGATCATAAAATTAATTTCAAGCAATGCTATTTTATTGGTAAATGTGCTCAATATCAGAGATTGGCCGTTATAAATATATACTGGATACTGAAGTCCAACGCCGTGGGTATCGTATAAATAAAAAGAAATAAAAGAACATATATAAATAAAACAACAAATGTAAATAAATAAACAAATTAACAAACTATGAATTCACACATAAACTTAAAATATGGTAGTAGTAGAAATAATAATAATAATAATAATAAATATAATAATATATATATATATATATATATATATATATATATATATATGTGTGTGTGTGTGAGAGAGAGAGAGAAAGAGAGAGAGAGAGGTAAAGATAGAGAGGGAGGAGTGAGTGAGTGAGTGAGTGAGTGAGTGAGTGAGTGAGAATGGGTACTAAGAACCCCACGATGTATTGTGCAAGTAAATAAATAATAAACAAATTAGAAACACCCAGAGGCAAATATAAATATAAGTCGACAATAAATGATTAAGTAAGAAATAATTAATAACAAGTAAAATTTAACAAAATAATCTATACAATAGCTACAAATAACCATATTTGTATTCACAATTCCTTTTACTCAATAGCATCTATACAATTTGAAATATAACTGCGCATTCATTGGGATAATATACCTTGCTACCCACAATGAACCACTAAACAGTATATATAAATACCCGAGCCAATACACAAAGCAAATAACTATCTATCTATCACTCTATCTATCTTTCTATGTCTTTTTTGATTCCCACATTATTACATAATACGGTAGAAACGAAAAGGACCATTTCTTTTTGTTATTCGTTTTGTTAAGAGAGAATGGTGGAAACTTGGATTTTAAAAGGCAGTAGGAGGAATGACAGCGCAGGAATGAATGTCGCATGTTGGCTCAGCGTCCCTTCCCGTTTAGTCTTATCCGGTCGCTCACTTGGATGAGTGAGGCGTATCGTCGCTTCAGAATTCTAGTGGTCCTCTCTTGAATTCGCGTCTTTTGGGACTTAAATTCAAAACTCAGCCAAAAGTAAACGAACACTACCAGAATACCACGCGCACGGAGAACTCCAGCTAATCGCTGACCATTCTGGCCTTAGCCTTCACATTCTGTAACGAGCACACACACATACACACACACACACATAAACACACGCTCACACACACACACACACACACACACACATATATATATATATATATATATATATATATATATATATATATGAAGAAATATAATTTTAAGGTGTGCTATATTTATGTGATAAAGTACTCAATATCAGAGATAGAGCGTATATAAATAGAGATATAAAAGTGAATATAGACGTCAACAGTCAGAGGCGACAGGCTGTTTCTTGCCAGACGCAATCATCGGGCCTGACTACTGCGTGTACCATGAAACAGCCTGTCGCCTCTATGTGTTGACTTCTATGTTCCTCTTTCTCTCTTTCTCTCTCTTCTCTCTCTCTCTCTATATATATATATATATATATATATATATATATATATATATATATATATATATATATATGTAAGCAAATATATGGATATAAATCCGACAGTATGAAAAAAAAATACAGAAAAAACAAAAATCTGAATATGCATTTATGTAGTATTATTAATGTTAAAATAAAGTCGACGTCGGACGTTTCGGTCTATTTAAGACCATCTTCATGGACTTTTTCATTTAAACATAAATAACATTATAACTTATAAAAATTTAACACAAAAGACGATGGACACAAGAGCCCAAATAATTCACACAGATAACTGAAATTTTATACAGATCAGCGTTCTGTTTAAATATGATCACGTAGTCGTCACGTGAGCGATGTTGTTAAAACGTATTCGAAGATGATTTCCAAAATTAAAATATTAAAAAGTCGATTGAAAAATTTTATAAACAGTTCAAGAAATCTCTTCCGTTGATGTCGGAATACGTAGTGATCAATTGGTTCTTATATCTTCAACAAGCTTGAAGTCCTTCCCGTTACAAGGCAGATCCAAAAGTGATTTCAAAAACGATGGAACAGTTCTAAAAAACAGTTCGATAATAAATCCATTCCTTACTTGATCAATAGAATCTATTATTCTCGTCCAAGCTTGAAATCTTCCACGTTATAAAGTAAATTCAGTTTTGTATTTCCAGTAGACAGTATGTAAGCAAATATATGGATATAAATCGACTTTTTAATATTTTAATTTTGGAAATCATTTTCGAATACGTTTTAACAACATCGCCCACGTGACAGAACGCTGATCTGTATAAAATTTCAGTTATCTGTGTGAATTATTTGGCCTCTTATGTCCATCGTCTTTTGTGTTAAATTTTTATAAGTTATAATGTTATTTATGTTTAAATGAAAAAGTCCATGAAGATGGTCTTAAATAGACCGAAACGTCCGACGTCGACTTTATTTTAACATTAATAATACTACATAAATGCATATTCAGATTTTTGTTTTTTCTGTATTTTTCTTTCATATATATATATATATATATATAAATATTGTCGGACATAATCTGAAGTATATAAAAAACTTTAATTATCTTGACAGCAAAGTAAATTCAAGTGAAACATTGGATGATGAGATAATCAACAGAGTAGCAAAAGTCATCGACTTTGGAAAGATCGTGATATTAGGCTTGGAACCAAAATACAAATGTACAAGGCTGTAGTTCTCACAACCCTTTTGTATGGCTCAGAGTCCTGGACACTATACAGAAAGAAAATTCAGCAAATAGATATTTTTCACAAAAGCTGTCTTCGGGAAATCTGGTGGGTAAACCTAAGCGACAGAATGGCAAATGCAGACCTTTTCACCATGTGTGATATTGATGGTACTGAGTCCTTTCTCATGAAATCACAATTACGATGGACAGGTCATGTGTTACGTATGCAAGACAACTGAATTCCAAAAATGCTCATGTATGGTCAACTTGACAATGGGCATCGAAACGTGGGTCGGGCTTTGCTTAGGTACAGGGACAGGCTGAAGAGTAACCTCTTAGATGCAAATATAGATCACACTACATTTGAGAACATCGTAATTGATCGTAATGAATGGAAGACTACATGCTACAATGGCATCAAGGACAAGGCAGCATCAAACATTGTCAAGCTTCGTCAAACTAGGGAAAGGAATAAGATATCTGCTGCTGTTCCAGCCATATACTCCAATAATCCACACTCTTGCACAATCTGTGGACTTTGCAATTCACTGGCGGGACGGAAGTGTCACTTGCGACTCACGCACAAGGTTAAATATGCAGAGTTGTTGAACCTCATACGTCGAAACCGACGGAGAGTCCATCATATATATATATATATATATATATATATATATATATATATATATATATATATTTTCTTTTGTTTTCTGGTGTATATTTATTTCCTTTCAGGTTCCGACCAGGTGTGGGCTGTACTCGTGCGAACAACCACTTTTGTATTTCTTTTTAAGACATGGGCTACTAAGAATCCCTTCAATGAATCATAACTAGGTCTATTATTATTATTATTATTATCGTTGTTGTTGTTGTTGTTGTCGTCATTGTTGTTGTTTTATTCCCTTTGATTTCATTCCAGGTCCCGCCCAGAGATCTATGGTCAGAAATGGCATCCTGACATATTCCACTAACCAATTAAAAACAAGGATCAACAACACACATATTTTTTAAACGCTTCGTCATGTGTGGCATGGACTTCCAGGAATCCCTTCAATGAGTCAATTTTAATCTTTTCCAACCAGTCCGAGGGCTCTAACTACAACAGGGATCGTTGATGTTCTCATGTGCCATATTTTTGTGATTCCGATTTCAACGTCCTTGTATTTTGATAGCTTTTTGAAGATCTTCAAAGATACATTGTAGTCTGCAGGGATTGCCATATCAATAAGAAGGCACTTTTATTTGTTTGTGGTCTTTAATAACAATATCTGGGCGGTTGGCTTTGATTGTTCTGTCAGTGTGTATTGTGTAGTCCCATAGAATTGTAACAGGTCCTATCTCCGTAACTGGGTCTGGGTGGTGTTCATACCAGTTTCTTTCAGTTTCCTTCCCGTAGAAGTTGCAGATTTTCCAGTGCAGATATTGGCCCACTCTGTCATGCTGGGTTTTATATTCAGTGGGTGCCAATATCGTGCAACCTGATGGTCAGCTCTTTCTGGATATTTATCACAGAATCTGCATTTTGGGCTAACACAATATTTTAGTATATGTGCTTGATAATTCCTAGTTTGCAAGCATTGGTCTTGTGCAGCAAGGATAAAGCCTTCAATTTCAGCTTTCAACCCTGCACTACGTAGCCATTGATGGGTACGGCGTTTGTCTACATCAGCTTGTTTGGTACGGGCAGAGTATTGGCCATGAAGCGGTTTATCTTGCCAGCGCTTCTGTATCTGGTCGGCTGCATTTGCTTTTTCTTTCTTTTTTAAGTATTTTGCAGCTTCAGTGATTATTATTATTATTATTATTATTATTATTATTATTATTATTATTATTATACCAGTCTGTTTTATCACAGTAGCATTAGTATAAACTAATATATTTCTTAGTAAAATTTTCAAGTTATATCAAATACGCAACTTGAATATCGCTTTTTGCAATAAATTATTTTGTTCGTGTGTGTTTTTAATATAAAATCTTGTTCGTCATAATATCAATAAATAGATAAAATTGAATAGTTATTGATATTATGTTTTAATTTTAGATATATATATATTTTTTTTCCTGG